ACAAAATGTGTATCGATCGATATGTATCTCTGGATATCGACCTTGTTGTCTGATCTTTACAGTCATCTCGGAAAAACTCTTCTTTAAGTCCATAAAGACATCTAAATCATCACTTTACTCCAAAATGCTCATGAACCTGAAAACATAACTCCAAAACATATATAAATATTCTAAAATCATCTCAATACCATGGTTAAAAATGGGTCAAAACCATACCACAAACCCTCCTTTATTTTCCCCCTCCTTCTTATTAGGTAACACAGCTTTCGTTGTTGTAGGTTGGTTATTCTGAGACCACACTGATAGTTGTGACTTTTTCAGGTGTGCCATCTCATAAAGCTTCCCTAGCATTAAACACTGTCGTACAGATTGAGGCTGGAACATCCTAATATGCATCTGTGTATCCATTCTCAAACCTGCCAAGTAAGCACTGACCAAATACTACTCCGAGAGCTTAACTCTTGTTTTAATCAACTCGAATTTACCATGATAATCCACAATCTCAGCCGTCTCTTATAACAGCTTAAGTTCAGCAATCGGATCATCCAACAATTCTTCAAACCTCTCCATCAACAACGACTTATACGATGGCCAGTTGAACAGTAAATTCTGATTCTCTTCCTCTTGAATCACAAATTGATGCCAAGTTGAAGCTAAACCATCAAAATGAATCGATGTTACTCCCGCTTTCATATCATCAGGGGTGTTATCCATCATAAAGAACTGTTCAACCTTAACTAACCATTGTTTCATCTTAACGCCATTAAATCTAGGAAAATCAAGCTTCGTAAGGCGAGTCATTCCAGAATAGTTAGCGTGTATACCTGCTCGTCCTCTTCCCAACTCAGTTTGATTCAATAGCATCGTCGGAGAATTCGAATGAATCTGCGATGTTCTTCGGTTGTTAACGTCTTCACTCGTTGAAGCTTGATTTCGTTGCATCGAGATCAATCAAATTGGCTTCAAACATCTCCACGAAACTTTTCTCCATCTTCGTATTCTGATCCAGAATCTTCGCATTCTGTTCAGTCACCGTCACTTCTAACAACTGCGTACGATCGAGAACTTGATCAACCTTTGATCCCAAGCTTCCTTCAACTTCTCGAACCGTAGCCTCCTTCAATAGTGCTTCTGCTCTAGTCTCTGCCATTGATTCCGAGGAATGAGATGGCTTTGATACCTTTAATACCGTAAACTAGAGTTCGATTAGAAACGTGTAACAACAAATCCAATGTTCATAAAACACCGATTGACTCACTATGATAAACTCCGACTACAAGTACGAAACTCAACACTCTGATATTTTCCAGGAAAACGTAGAGAGAAAGAAAAAAGACACTGCAACAATATTTTATGATAATGACTCTAACAACCGCCACTCTGTTTATAAAGAGAGTCAAAAAATTCTTGTTACGCTGTTGACTCATAATGCTGACATGTATTGCTGACGAGGCATACTTCATTTAACTATATCACAATGCAAAGGCAGGTCAACATAGTCACAGCTCAAAACCGTGCCACTCAAGGTCAAAACTCGGGGTTCACAATACAAAAGTGCAACATCACAGCAAGTGCCGATCTTGCTCCTGTAGAGTAACAGTAAAGACATATTTAGGTCGTCCGTGGGGTGTAATGGCAACGGTGGTTGTAATGGAGTCTTTCATACATGATCATATCGACCAGGACCGTCTCAAATAAATTTTAGACCCTGATCAAAAAAAAAAAGTTAATGATATATTTATGATTTAATAATTTTTTTCAAAAAGCTAATAACTATATTTGATGTTTCTTTAAAACTATAAGTTCTAATTTAGCAATATATCTAAATTTGTTTTTAGAATATCATAATTTATCTATATATTTCTCAAAAATTCTTAATTTTTCCTTATTTTTTCCTTATTTTTTTATATTTGGGGTCCTGTTTGACCGTTCCACTTACACATGCTATTAGACGGCCCTGATATCGACCATGCTGGTTGTTATCCATGGGATGAAGAAAAAGAACGCCTCTCATCTCTATATTATGGAGAGTATGAAAACTACGGACCAGGAGAAAACACAAGTCAACGTGTGACATGGAAAGGATTTAGGGCAATACAAGATCCCGAGGAAGCTGAAAGGTTCCCGTTGGTCAACTACTGAAGGATGATGGTGAGTTCTGGCTGAACTCTACTGGAGTTCCGTATGAAACCGGTCTCTGATTACTTATGATATAAGCATATATTGGAAGTCTTAGCAAACGAAGGTTATTATTAGAGCTTGATTATCCCATGAATTTTAAGTGGGTTTCTCAATGTTTATTTAATTATATAAATGTGTTTAAGTGGACTTAAAAATTCTAGTTAAGAAACTTCAATTTTGAGTGGTCCAAAGGGAGTTTCTTAATTATGGGTTCTTAAAAAAATTAAAGATAAAATTTATTTATTAAATAAAACATATTAAAAATAACATTTATAACATGGATTTAAAAAAATATATTAAATGTTAAGAAAATATAAAAATAATTTTATTGTGAATATAAAATCAACAATATAATAATAGATGCTTACTTATATAAAATATATATACATATAATTTATTAATTTATAATTTTAATGGACCATATATTTACATAAATTTTTCTAAAAAAATAGTATCTGGTTATTTTATCGATTTGTGTCAAATTTTGAATTGATCCAAGTTAAAACCAACATAGGTTATCACGATTTTTCTCTTCACAACACTTAATCATTTTAACTTGAATTTGATCCTATATTGGTTAACACCCAATTAGACCTTAGGTTGACATCCTTATATCCTGAATTTGAAACCCGATTTTATTATTTGTTTATCACGATTTTTCTTTTCACAACACTTAATCGTTTTAACTTGAATTTGATCCTATAGGAATAAAGTGTAATATTTGGTCTCTGTGGATTTGATCCTAAAATGCTACATCGACATACCATTCGATTGTGATAGTGTGCGCATTAGGTTAATTGGTGTGCGTTTGCACGTAAGATCAGTCACACATCTAGGAATGTGACCAACCAGATCCTTGGAAACTGAAGAAACCAAATGCCCATCACAGATGCAGAGAAAAAGAAAAAAGGATGAAAATCAGTGCTCTGAAGAGATGTATCTTTAGTATACTCTAGATACAATAACTAAGTGAGAATCATAATGAAACATAAGTATAAGTGGAAGTAACAAATAACACACATCTTGAAAGATAAGTATAAAATGTTTACGCAAGAAAGATAATACTTTAACCACAAGTTTACGAAGAATTTTGTGTGATACTTTCCAAATTTGTGAGTGTTCCAAAGAAATAACTTTCCAAAATTCGTATTACTTTTATTTCCTTTAACATTAATGTAAATCTGCAAATTTTCACAAGTTTCACATAAATTTTGCTATTTAATTATGGAAATAATTTCCAAATTCGTATTATTTTTATTTCCTTTAACATTAATGTACATCTGCAAATTTTCACAAGTTTCACATAATTTTGCTATTTAATTATGGCAATAAATTTCCAAATTCGTATTATTTTTATTTCCTTTAACATTAATGTAAATCTGCAAATTTTCACAAGTTTCACATAAATTTTGCTATCTAATTATGGCAGGTTATCTAGTACTTAGCATGTACCGCAACAAAGGAAAGAAAATCAAACAAAATCTGTGAAAATCTACTCTATTAAAATATAGTCATTATTTTTATCTACTGATACAAGTTGTCATTTAAATTTGGACTCTTTCTAGAGTGTTACAAATAATACAAGTCATATAGTTAATTGAACCGCATTACTTAAATTAAACCGGTGATTATTTATGGGATATAATGTTGGGCTTACTTTTGTTTTTATAACAAATTATATAGTTTGGTTTTTGTGCTTAGTATTAAGGAAAAACTCCAAAAAATATTGAATTAACTTTCCATTTTAATGGATCAAAAAATCAGTTATTATTTTCAAGCCCAAAAGGTATTTAATATTTTTAAACCAAACAAAATTGTGTATTATTAATCATTTATTTAAATCATGTACTTTAAAACATGTTAATATATTTTTTTATTTTAAATAACAATCACTTTGTTTTGATAAACTTCAATGGTAACTTTTAAATAATTTATTGTCTTATTTCTCTTAAATAATTTACTGATTTAAAAAAATGTAAAACAAAACCAAAAACCAAATCTAAAAACTAAAATCCAAAATCAAGAACTGAAAAAACAGGTTATCTTTTTTTTAATTTATTTACAAAATAAACTATTGCAAATTTCTTTAAAAAAAATTTGTCATCTTTTAAGTTTAAAATTAGATGTTCGATTATTTGGGATTTGTTTGTTAGTAATATTAGTTCAAACTAACTCAGCGGGTCTAAAAAATAAAAATCCAAACCAAAAGCTGAAAATCAAAATTAGAAAGTTAAAAACTAAAAACCAAAAACCAAAATCTAAAACAAAATCTAAAAATAAAAACTGAAACTAAAAACTAATGAATAACATTCATCACCACAAATTTTAAAATCCAAAACCAAGAACTGAAAAAACATGTTATCTTTTTTTGCTTTTATTTATTTACAAAATAAACTATTGCAAATTTTTTTGTCATCTTTTCAATTTAAAATTAGATGTTTGATTATTTGAGATTTGTTTGTTAGTAATATTAGTTCAAATTAACTCAGCGGGTCTAAAAAATAAAAATCCAAACCAAAAGCTGAAAATCAAAATTAGAAAGTTAAAAACTAAAAACCAAAAACCAAAATCTAAAACAAAATCTAAAAATAAAAACTGAAACTAAAAACTAATGAATAACAATCATCACCACAAATTTTGGTGAACTGATTTTATTCCAAAACATTCTTTAAAGAGAATTTGCATCCCATATACAAACTAAACTCATAAATTAACTATCTACCTTCTTTCTCTCTTATCTCTCTTCCCCTCCCTCTCACTATTTTTCCTCTAAAACTATGGCATATCCCTAATATTGAGTTTCTTTAGGTATATTGAGCAAATTTGTTCTTCTTTAAATTAATACAAAATCCAATTATATAAATTTTTAATCATAAAAAATTTCCGCGTCAAAATCTAGTGTATATATTTAATTCGTTTCAGCAAAAAATGGAAATTTTTAAATCGGTCGACCTTATATAAATCCTCATAAACTTTTTTTCTTGACCCAAACAAAAAAAAATAAGTTAGAAGAAGAAGAAAGATGGTTTCATACGTCAAAAAGAACTTTTTTGATTTTATGATTGTTTTACTTCTTGTTGTTATGCAATAAAAAAGATGTCGACTCTACACTCTGTTTCGAGGTTCTAAAACCAAACCGTACGATGGATTTTACTGGTCTCGCCAACTTTCTGATCAACTATACGTCTCGAAACGTTTCGGGTGTATTGAAGGAAATAAAGTTGTATGAAGGCAACACGACGGATTTGCAGACAATCAAATTATGCGAAGAGATGGATGACGAATCTCTTTTTGGGGATGATCTTGCTCTGAAAGCTTTGGCAGCCAAGGATTACGACACCGTAAACATTAACGTCGGAGGTACGTTGGGAAACATGATTACGTGCAATGAGGAATTATCAACAATGAAGCCAGTACCACAATCCTTGATCGCTAAGAATACCGTTATAAAAAATCTATCTAGTATTGTTTTAAGGATTCTTGAATGTTTCATAAGAAAAGACAGTATATTATGTACTAACTAATGATATTGCTTGGCTTTTTTTCATAAGTTTTTTTTCAATGAAATTGTATTTCTTAGCTTGTTATGCTTTAATCATTATTTATTTATATTAATAAAAGAGGTTAAGTGATAAACGAATGAGTACCAATGTTATCTTACGAAACTGTTAACAATTCAACCAATCCATTTTATACAGCATTCGTACAAATAAACTCCGAGAAAGTGTAACAAACTCCCTCGACGGAGTGTAAACCTTTTAAGTAATGCATGTGTGTTTGATAAAAAAAAAAAACTCCGAGAAAGTGTCTACGAGAAATTGAACAATATCCATAAGGCAATAAGAGTAACATTATTGCAAAGTCTCTTGTCATTGTTTTTTAATACACATATGTGTATGTATATATTATATATGTGTATATAATTGTTGGTTAAGGATTTTATGGGAACCGAAACAGAAAATCTCTTAATTAATAACTTTTTTGTCTCGGTTTTCGTAAAATCCTTAACCAACAATTATATACACATATATAATATATACATATATATATATGTATACTAAGAAACAATGACAAGAGACATTACAATAAGGTTGCTCTAATGAATCATAATCATAAGGTCAAAATCGTAAATAAATGGCGGACTGATTTGATTAATTAGAGTAAAAGGTTATTAGTTAATTCAATTTAGTTTTTTATACTAATGATATTTTTCGAAATTGCCTCGTAACTTGTTCAAGTCAACGCCGCCAGTTGTTTTTGAGAGGAGAAGTCAGAAACGCGTTTGTGTGGAAAAAAAGAAAGAAAGAAGAAGCGGTTAGATGTGATTTTTTTTGATCAGATTCTCTCATTCGAGTCTCAGTCCTCATCGCCTTAGATTTGACTGACTTGGTGATCGAAAATGGCGCCGAAATTCGATACGGAGAAGATGCAGGAACGCCAGAACTTCCGCAACGTGTGGCACACGGATCTCACCCACAGCATCCAAACCGATACTCCTTGTAATCCCTCTCTTCTCTCTGTTTGATCGATCGGTTTTGGGATTGATTGATTGATTGATTATGTGTTGTTGTTTGTTGTTCGCAGATTGCTGCTTTTCGTTGTGGTGGTATGTCTCCTCTGTATTTGTTGAATTGTGAATTGACCACGATTTGACTTTGGAATAGTTACATTCTTAGATCATTCATTTCGTCAAATAGGACTTTATGGTTTTGTATCTGCTTTTGGTTCTATATATATAAAATGTAAAATGCCATATATGTGTGTTCTTCTTATTCACCTTGCAGTGCCCCTTGTGCATCATACTTGCTTCGCAAGCGTGCGCTCTACAATGACATGTCAAGGTATTAACTCAATTACCTTTCGGGTATATTCATTCTCATTCCATCTTCTTAGTTTCTTTTTTTTTAAAGGATATGCTTCTTTGTCTTACAGGTACACTTGCTGCGCCGGTTACATGCCTTGTAGTGGCAGATGTGGAGAAACCAAATGTCCTCAACTTTGTCTTGCCACTGAGGTAAATAAAGATCTTCATCTTCAAAATTGGAAGTATCTTTTCCGGTCACTCCTCTGTTATTCTCATCTGAACATAAGAATACGATCTCAGTCATGACTAGTTATAGCTTATGAGTTGTTTTTCGGTGTTTTCTAAGTAGCAGAACAATTTTTTTGCAGGTCTTTTGCTGCTTTGGAACCTCTGTGGCATCGACTCGTTTTCTTCTGCAAGATGAGTTCCAGATTCAGACGACGCAATGTGACAACTGCATCATCGTAAGTCTCCTCACTTGCTCAAACCAAGCCAAGTTACTGACACTCACAGGCAATTTAAGTAGAAACAGACAAGACTAAGTGTCGTGATACTATATATGCTGTCTTCTTGGCTGTGTAGGGATTTATGGTTTGTCTCAGCCAAGTGGCTTGCATATTCTCCATAGTTGCATGTATTGTCGGCATTGATGAGCTTTCAGAGGCTTCTCAGTTGCTCTCTTGTTTAGCTGACATGGTTTACTGCACGTAAGCAAGCATCTCCCCATCATGTTTATTCCCTTTAACTTAAATTTCCCTGATGAATGATTGTATTTTGCTTCGTTTTTGCAGGGTTTGCGCTTGTATGCAGGTAAAGTGATGATATCAAACCCCATTCAACACCACCTGCTAAGAAAAGTAATATATACAGTCTTCCTGATAATATGTATTATGCTTCTGTAGACACAACACAAGGTGGAAATGGACAAGAGAGACGGTAAGTTCGGTCCACAACCAATGGCAGTGCCTCCCCTTCAGGTAATGTCACGGATTGATCAACCAACTCCACCCGCTATTGGTTATCCTCCACAAGCTTACCCACCACAAGGTTATCCGCAACACCCGCCACAAGGTTATCCACCTTCTGGCTATCCTCAAAACCCTCCGGCTTATCCTCAATACCCTCCAGGTCCGGCTTACCCAAAGTAAATCACTCGTTACCTGGCTTCTCTTCCAAACTCGGAAGACTTTTATTTCTTCTTCCTTTTAAATTCACATTCATGTCGGTGGTATATGCTGTCTTTTGGTCAAAAGTGTTGAACGTTGGCGGATTCGTTTGAGGTCATTGTTTGTATAAGCCTTTACCTCTGATGCTGTTGTTATTGTCTGAGACATCGCTCTTGGACGAGTCACTTGATGTCTTTTGAAATATTTTATGAGAAGTACAGAGTCCAGTACAATTTACGAACTGTTTATATTCATGATTAACAAACTGTTCTCATAACAAAGAAAACAAAAGACATCGTTTGGTTGTGGGTGTAAGAATGTTGCAATTTTGTATGAACCAGCATATAGTAAGAGAATAACTACGAAGGGATCTCAATGAATACAATGTTAAATAACGCGGCAATAAATTACGCAGCCTAAAAACTAATTTTTTCTTCCCATTCAAAAATAAAATCAATACAAGAAGATAAAAATAAAACTATATAAGAAGTTACTTAAGTTCAGTGACTTCACCTTCTCTACATACACCAACATTGATCCATAACGTATTATTCCTTTTTGTTTGTAATGCTCTGCAACAGTTCCTCCTCGGTGACTGCACAAAAACACGTGAAACCATTTAAGTTACATAACATTATTCACATGCTAATAAATGACATTTACGTTACGTACCCTTTCCCATAGATGCGGGTCTGGTTTCTTGTAAACCACGATGGTGTTTATCTCAGCTGGATTCGTCATCTTCCACCGACACGAAGGATGAGAAACACGGTGTCTCGTGTACTCACTAACCGTCGTATTCAGCTGCTTATCAAATCTAGTGGAAGACATGTAGAACACAAACGGTTTTTGGCACGGGTTACGGCTAACCGGCCTAGTGTTGAACGCATAAGCGGTGTAATCTGCTCTTTTGTACCAATTCAAGAACGTTCTCGAAGGCATTTCCATTTCTCTGGGAGAGAATATTCCACGGAATATTTGGATAGCGTAGCCCCACGAGACCGAGATGGACCAGCTCCTGTGCTTGTCGTAGCATATAGACTGCTGGAGAAGCCCCGCTGAGTCTAGCTTCATCGGTACGGTTAGCTTCTTGAGGGCACGGACACGTGTCATGTTGGGGAAGATCGGTTCCACGACGTCGAGGTGGTGCATTGAGACGAACGGTGTTACTGGGTGTGCGGCGAGGAGACCGAAGAGGTTCCCGTAAACGTCGTACTGAAACGGTAACAACAAAACTCAAGACGTTACTATTAGGAGCGTGAAATTCACGCGTCGTATGTGCGTGTAGTAAATAATGAGAAGACAAATCATTCAAGTGTGAGAACATAAAGGCGGGTCCCTCTCTTACACCTGTATTTAAACATCATCTAACTTAAGTAAATTGGACGACATTGAGCTACTCACGCGCCGCTTTGTCGGTACCAAAACCATGAAAAGTTTGCCAAAACAGCATCAAAGCAAACGAAATTGAAATCACAAACCAGCATAATCTTCTCACAAGAACATCATAACATTCAATGCAAGCTGCATATTTTCTAAGTTTGGTTACTAAATACATTGTTCTTAAAACTAGCCTTTTGAACTCTTTCTAACATAAAACTCTAAAGCTTTTTTTTTTTTTTTTTTTTTTTTTTTTTTGAACACAAAAAAACTCTAAAGCTTGTAGCGTAGATTCCATTACAAAAGTGAAGTAATTGAATGAAACCCATTGCAATTAACATCAATACCCATGTCCACAAAATCATTAACAACGCTAATTACGCCACTTAACCATCAATATTTGCTTATATTCACTAAACTAAACCAAAACTACCAATCATTAAAACTCAATCATCATTAATTACCCGACTTTTACCTGGTGAAACCCGATTTCTTTAGTGAGTGGAACACCGAGTTCAGCCATACAAGCTTGCATGCGATCATCAGATCCATACAAAGCCGGATACCTCTGTATACACCGATCCTGCATCTTACTCAAAGCCTTAGCCAACGGGTAGCTAATCGCAAACCCTCCTCCACCGTAAGCCATACTGTAAGAGAAAAATATATTCTGTAGATGAGACTCCGACAAGCTCCCAATATAATACATCTGCTCGTGATCATACTTCCTCAACACCCTAACGAGATTATCCGTTACAAACACCGTGTCGTCATCACCCATCACGAACCACCTCACGTTCTTCAGACCCATACGCAGCATCTCCGACACGATCCTCGAGATCCGCAACGCCGACCGTTGCCCTTGTTTGTTCGTGTAAGGGAAGTAAGCTGTCCCGGCGGAGATTTTGATCGGTGGAAGTAGATCTTCGTCGTCGGCTTCTTCCTCGGCGTTGGTGTTGGTGATGTTCTTTTTAACCTCTTTGTCTAACCAAACGTAACCGCGCATGTGTTTAGGTTTGTACCAGATCTTGATATACTCTTTCCTCTGTTTCCATAGCTTCGAAGACGCGGCGATCCCGAACACCACGTGGTGCAGATCGGTTGGCTCGTCTTCTTCGGAGTATAACTTAACCTCCGACTCGCGGCGCCGTGAAGCAGCGACGAGGGAGATGTTGGAGGAGGAGGTGTTGGTGGAGAGGGCGGAGATGGTGGTGAAGGTGGTGGAGTCGTCGCAGGTGCGTGAGGTGGAGACGAGTTTGAGCATGTAGATAATGTAAGTGAAGACAATGAAGCAGATTAGCCAAACCATTAGTTTTGGACCGGGTCGGGTTAGCATTGAAGTAGTACTCGATGAGGTTCGATCCCATGTCGGTTTCTCCGACGAGTCTTTCTGGTTACCTTTCATCCACACAGATTCAAAGAACAATAAACAAAAGAAAAAACAAACCCTGTATCAAGAATTGATTTGGGTCTGTTTTTGAAATTGGTGAAGACAGGAAGCTAAGTGTGTGTGTCTCTAGCTTCGTAACCCAGAGGGAGAGAATGAACCGAAAAATATGGATCTTTCTTTCCTAAATAAGAAAGATTAATGTGAATGAGCTTGGTGATTTCCTGAGAAATCGAGGGAAATACAATGGGAAACTCTTTTTTTTTATTTTTGTGCTTCTCTGTGGAGAGAGATAAGGAAAGATTAAAGGTGAGAGAGAAGAGAAAAATATAAATAAAAAAGAACAGAAAAGGAGAAAATATTATTAAAATAAGTAAAATGTGGGTTGTTGTCATTATTTTGGTTGTTTCCTATTTTTGTTTTGACAAATTTTCGTGCTAATAAATATTTTAATTTAATATTTTCGAGTTATTTTGGTGTTAACCTAAAAACCAAAGAGGTTCGTGTGGTCTGTATGTGATTAGTGTGTTGCAGATGTAATAAGGGAAAGCATTATAGTAAAAAAGAGGAGCGGTCGGATCTATGAATATGTGTGGGTCCTACTCTGCCTCGTTTCCCCACGTGGGTCATACGGAACTATCTACGTGTCACTTTCATTGCTCCTATAATTTAAAGCGAAAAGCTACGTCGTTTCCTAGGCGCGTTTCTCAGCAAAGAAAGGCTGTGACTATTTGCTTGGCTCATTGGCTGAGCCCACCGTTGTGTTAGTGGGGGTAGCTAACTGGTGTACACCGTTCGATGTTAATTATATTTTGGCGTTGCTCGACAATTTTGAAACAGAGAATAATGGGTTTGGCAACACAAAACAATTAAAATGTTGAATGGAGAAAAAAAGTATTAGCAACTTTTCTTTTGGTCAAAGAAAAAGTAGTCTAAATTTTGAAATATTTTTTTTTCTTTACATGACACAAATTGAAATGGATGGAGTAGAAATTTGGATATCTGATATATGAGATAAGTATCATGTCAATGATAGAAATTTAACGTTATCACGCATTAATGGTAAATTAAATCTTACTAGCGCAGCGCATTATTATGTGATAAATAGTGTCACAATTCCAAAATCCTCAACTGTTTATCTATTGTCAGGTTTTACGGATCCATGTTAGTTAATAGATTTCGGTTCTTCTATATCTTGTTCTTTGTTGTCATCGGCTTAGGAAAAACTCTTCAAAAAAACTTCTTGATAAATCAATTTTGGATTTGATTAGTACAAATGCCAAGTTGCCAACTTACATGTATATCGTTACATAGGTATAACTTATATACGCATGTGTATGTGTAGCTTAATATCATAGATATCATAGTCTAATATCATAAACTATCTGATTTCTGATGTGAAACTAAAGCGATGATTGTTTTATGATGTTGTTAAAGAAGATGGTAGATAATTGTAACTACCAATCTGTTGGTATTTGACATTTGTTAATCAATGATCTAAATGCATAAATGGATTTGGTAGATTTTCTTTTTCTTTTGATGACTTTCAGATGAAAATGATAGATAAGAAAACGTATAGAAGTCAAAACTATTTCCATAACTAACTAAACAAAAAGTTATTAAGAAAAATATAGATTTGATTTTTTTTCTTTGAATTCAATAATTGAGAACTGAAAAGATCAGCGAGATTGAATTATCTCCGTTTAATATTTTATGACATTCTCCTTTGGATTCTTGATTCATACTTGCTTGTGTCGTCTTGTTAATAACTTATTCTTAAAAATAGAATTATGGAAAGAATAATTGAAGGTGTCGATTCACCTGCTAAATATTCTCTAATTATTATTTTCTAGAGAGCTTTGGTCCCAGCATTAGGGCAACCGCAGAGGGATATCATACTTTATACCCACTTTACATGATCTCGGTTTATAAATGATTGCGTATTTCGAAACCTCTCCAAAGAGAAAAAAAAAACACTTACGTTAGTATTTGATGGATCTGACTTGGCCCAAGCCCATTAGCTATTAAACACCTTAAGCTCATTATTGTCTTAACTAAGTCACTCAAGAAATTGGTATACACAAAATTCAGTTAATCTTCTACAGTTGGTGAAGATATTTTTTTGTTACTAACTTGCAAGACAAAACAGAGTAAATAAAACTAGATGAAAATGTAACACACATGAAGCTTAAGAAAACAAGACAAATGACTGGTTTAATATAAACAACATAAAAGCTTTTGTCATCATAGATGAAATCAGAAACATATATATCACAAGATTATGCTAAAAGACTCGGTTAATTCGGTTAATATCTAGACTTTGGTCAAGAAAACTTAGGCATACATCTCATATAGTTTATATATATATATTCCACGCCAGCATCTAGCCATCTTCATCGCGGCTAGACCATGATTGAAGAAGAGAATACATGACCAATGGACCAACAAATGGTGGAAATGGTGGTGGTCTACTGAAGGCAACCAGTGGCTCTACCGATTCCTCAATCTTCTTCATTGTTTCTCTTTCGCCATTGCTCTCATTCAGTTTCTTCGGTACTATGGCTCTCACTATTTTACCTGCTTAAGATACAACATAATCACTTGTTTCACTTTCTTCTTCTATAAACTGACATCAAATGAAAATGAACCAGATTAATACACCAGTTAGTTACCGTTTGATCCTGAAACCGGGAAGACTAGTTTGAGATTGTTTGTAAGAGCAGGAAAACGCTGCATGAGATTACGATCTACGCGTGATCTCTTTCTCTAGTTTGACCTGTTTGAAAGTGAATTAAAAAGATTGCCTGGAACAACATGCAAGAACATATAGAGTAACATATCAGCTCTCTGGGACATATGAGAAACTCTAATATCTTAAACAAACCACCAACACAGATCAATATCTACACTTTGAAAAAACAAACAAAAGTGAAGGAAACAGATATAATCATTTCGAGGCTCGATCTGAAACTGTGATCAAGAACGGAACTTCAAGAATCGCTTGTTTTAAGACCTAGGAATTATCAAACAAAAAGACATAGAACAAACCACAAGAGATTTAAAGAAGTTATACTAACGAAGTTGACCTTTTTATTAAAGAGAAGCAAACAGCAGATCGGCATTTTTAAAACGATATCATTGATTAATTTAGTGATGTTTCGCATCAACCACAAGATCTATTAAATATAAACACCAAATCGTGTAATTTGACAATAGTTTTTTTTTTTTTTTTTTTTTTTTTTNTTTAAAAATATTTTTTTTTTTTTTTTTTTTTTTTTTGCATAAGAATGCAATTCAAGGACAAGATCAAATGAAAACAAAATCAGAAACCTACACAAATTGGTTAACGTACAACATTAAGATGGTGATTATTACCGATTTCAACAGCTGGGCAAAATGAAATGAGAGTCTCAGTTACTCCTGTTGTAAGAGCTTTTTCTTCTTCCAAGATTTATTTTGAGTTGGAAAATTTTCTCTTTTTCAGTGGTAGAGGAAGGTTTGAGAAGGTCCGGGACTCACGGAGAATTACTCAAGTTACAAAAATATCACATTTTTTCATATTTTTTTCCCCAATATTTAATACTTATATTTTCAGACATATCCAAACATCAATCGACGTGGCTTTTATACAGTTCACCTTCACCACTGTCGTTGCTGGTCTGCTTCTTTGAATAATTTACAACGAACTATTACATTTATTTCTTTTGTTAGCAAACGAATAACATTTGTATGAGAACGTAAACGTCTCAAACGTTCTGGAACGATTTTTCTATAATCCTGTAAAATGATAAAGTCTAGTAGTTCAATATTTGTTTGGTTGGTCTAAACGGATTAAGTCGCTTCTAATTCTTCTGGTTTACATATTTTGAATTCAAGTTGGGCTTCAAAATTAAAATTTTCAGTTATATAGACGCACAATAAACGCGACAAATCTTGCAAATTTCATTACCATGTGCAAAAGGAGAAGCTCCACTCTCCCAGTCCCAATTACTAAATAACTTCAGATGGTCACGAAATGCGCATGGCAACATGCAATCGCTACGAAAAAAGAAAAAGAAACTGAAAACAAATACACATAGATATTCATGAATGATGAGTTCATGACTAGAAACCATTTATTCCACAACTTGAAAATAAAATTTTACTGCAAACTCAAAACACACGTCCATACATATAAATAAGAAATGCGCTGAAATATAGATAGGGATCACTACTACACATTAGCTCATATTACAAACCCTAGGTTTATAATTTCATTCTCATTGCTTTAGGACCTTTACTTATCTCCGAATAAGTATCCAAGAGTTGAACTTCCACCAGGAACAGATTTAACCTTGGTCGTTGGACGATCCTGTAAATTTTTATGTAAAGAAATGTCCGGAATTTGATTAACCGAAGAAAAATAAAGACTTACTGTGACAAAGTTGCCGGAGTTTTGGCCCTTAGCTCTGTGATAGTTGTTGTTGTTAGACATCTTATGCTTTTGGTCAGGTTTGTTGTCGTCTTCGGTGGAATCTACGCCGTACGGTGGTGTAGGCTTTGGGGCAGCCGGTGGGAGACTTTTTGGAGCCTCATTGTCCGATCCGAAAAGATAACCTAGCGAGCTTTGTCCGCCTCCAAAGCTCCCACCTCGGCTCATTGTCTGATTGAGTGGCTTGATTGATTTACTTAACTGTTGATCAAGCCCTAGTTAATAGACTTGTTTAGCTTGATAAGGAAATGCTAAGTATGAACATAAATGTCAGAGATCTAGAGAGAAGCTTAAATAGATGTAGCGGTGGAGATTAATGTATAAGATATGATGAGAGGTATAATCTCATAGATAACACTGATTTTTTTTTTTAAATATTAGAAATTGACTAAAATACCACAATTTCAAAGTTTAGTACTAGTATTTAGTAACCCTAACTAAACGTTGTGGATTCTTCGTAAATCTAAAATTTGTTGGAACTTTAAGATAGTCGTGTATGTTTCATTGGACTAGAATTTAGTTTTTTTTTCCAGTTAACATTTTATAACAAAATCGCTTTAAAATTATATTAAAAAAATCATAGACTGATAAATGCTAATTTAATCAATAACTTTTAAAAGAAACATTTGATGAAAATTATAGCACATTAAATTTGTTATACCAGTTACTACTTCTAGCCCAACCAAAGTTCCAAAGCTGAGAGCAATATTCGAGTATGATGATGAAAGAAAAGACATTATTGGATGACGAATTTGTGGCAGTTGAAGCAAGCGTAGATTCTATACGCGATACGTAGATGTGTTTTACCTACATGATTTATTTTAGTTCGCAAAGCAAAGGTCAAGTTCGAGTTGGCTTTAGATCCAACATTTGTCAAGTCTGACAGCTCGCATAATCTTTTTTGTTTTTTGTTTTTTGGACATCATTATGGTACAGCCAGTCTCTAGGTCTACAAAAATTCCAATTTTTTTTTCTTTCGCAGAAAAACAAACTCAGAATCGATTTGTGACTTCGAGACCTTAGCATGTTATAGTTTCGTTACATTTTTAGGCTTTGGTAAAATAATTAGATCGAGTATCCAAACCAAATTTATTCACATAAAATGATATATAATAATTATTCCCACATTATAACACTAAAATGGTGATGAAAAATGACATTGTTTATTATGTTATGTACTAACTAAAATAGGTGGTGTAGAATTACAAAATAACAGAACAGACTCCTTTGTTACACAACAGAAAGAAGAAGAAAAACCTCTTATAAATCTATATATATATTTTGTAAAACTTTCCAAGATATGTTGGATAACAATTCGGTTAAAACTAAATACACTGTTATCCATGATAAATCCGTCATCTTTTCACGACAAGGACCATGTGGGCTGGGTCGAATTTTATTAAATTATTTCATTTGCATCTTAATCTTTAAGCAGTATTTAGTGAAAGGATGGAATAGAAACTCTAGAAATATCAAGTATCTTACAATAGTGGGGTTAGATCGAAGAGCGTGATTGCAATAAAAAAATGACATCGCCTTATACTAACTAAATAAAAATGACTATATATATTCTAAGTCTGAGAGCATTTCCAATGGAAAATTCTCAACATAAAATCTGAAAATACATATGTTAAAAGAAATAAAGAATAAAATATGTCAACAAAGGTAAAAAACAAATTTAAAAGATGATAAAGAAGTAAATAAATACATTTTGGTAAACTAGCGGTTATAAACATAAATTTCAGCTGTTGACAAAAGAAAATATATTAACCATGTGTTCCATCCGCATATTTGTTTGTTTGATAATTGAAGCGTTTGCACCCAACTTCAATCATGATCATATACTAAACCAAAGAAATGTCAACATGTTAAGAAAACATTATATTAAAATATCTCCAACTCTACACGGCTGAGATTAATCTACAAAAGCAATTAAGAATCGTCCGCATAAAATGTCAAATAATATTTAACAAATATCAAAAAATGTTGGAACCGTACAAAGGTGTATAAGCTTTGTCCACTACGATTAGTTGGGTTGGAAGGGCACTGGTAGGACATCTATAGGAGTGAGCCATTCCATTATTATATAATATATAAAAAATGATCTTAATAGTAGTAACATCTTTGTAGGTAGATGTCCTTAATTACACCTAATTAATCTTTATTAAACTTTATTAAAGCCGCTTTAACCAACTAATTGCTCTATATTTCAAATCAAAGGTCAAACCATATATCATGGCATATATATCTTGAATGCAAATACGATGTTTGCCATTCAAAAATTTATTACTTGAATCATTAAAAAGGGTACAGAACAAATCAAAAGAATAAAATAATATCCTTCAAAAATGAAAGCTATATTAAAATCAATTGAAAAAACTAAACAATCTGTACTATTAAATGATGACCATTCTAAAAATCTACTTAGAAAAGTTGTACCTATTATTAAAACTAAATATTATAAGTAACCAAAATATCTATAATATCAAATATATCCAAAATATCTAAATATATCTAAAATACATAAAATATTTTGGATAATTTGCGTACCTAATCGAATCTCAATAAAGTCTCATAGGTTAAAAATATAAAATAGGTATTTTTCTGGATCTAGATCCAAAACGAATCTATATTTTTGGATCGATTTTGATTATATTTTTTTTTTGTATCCGGATAAAATATCTATACATAAGAATGAGTTATATAAGAGTGTGCATTCTAGAATTCAAATAAAATAATTCATAAATTATATATTTTCAAAAATAATATATAAAATATAACGTTATAACATAATAATGTAAAACAATCCTAAAATAATAATTCATATCAAAATTTACTATAATAAAAACCCGATAGCAGAAGAGAGAAATGCTCATTCAAAGCGGGATGATTGCTAGACTGATAAGCGATTATAGTTCTGACATGCCTGTTCTCTTAACGTGGCAAGAAATGTAAGCCCGATCATGGCTTCTTTACCTCTATTGGTAGCAATTAGCAAAAGTACATGTCTATGTTCAGAATTTAGAACCATTTATGTTAGCAGCTTGTCTTACAAGTCGTCAAGATGAAATAACCTTTAACGTCTTAATTAAAAGTACAAAATTCTGTAAACCGGATATGTAAAGAAATACTTCTACCTGTTTGTAGACCAATAACCTTAAATTACTGTCACAGAATCGTTTTGCCTAGGGTTTTCATTCAAATGATTAAGCTTCTGATCAGTTAAGAAGAATCATTTGAGATTAATTTTATTTTCAGATACATACATCAACAGATCTCTATCTGATTATTTTGCAATACATACATAGAAGATAAACTAAGGTACTAGTTAAACAAATCCGCTATGCTTTCTGAAAACTGTAAAAGTACTCGCACTATATAGGAAGTAAGTGGGCTAAACTGATGAGCCTAGATTGGACATAGCTTAAATTGGGCTTCACTTTTAAGCAATGTGGCCTAAAGTTATATTTGTTGGATCGGTCTAAGCCTTGTAATCCCAATCAATTTGTTGGATATATCCTTCTTGCAAGGTTTATGTTTCTTGAATTTCTACCTACCAATGGCAAAACATGAAAGATTTTTATGTTTTAAACTTTGAAGCAACTCGTTGTTACGAGTGACTAGGGAAACAGAAAAAGAGTCTCGAGCTAAGTTCGACATATAATTGGAGTGTATAGAGAACTGATAGTTTGTTTTTCTTAACTAATAAATTCGATACTGGAATAATTATCTCTCTTTTTCTCTCGTGCACTCCAACCACTATAGATCAAAATATAGTCGGTTGCTTCAAACCTCCCGTGACTTGTGTATTTCCCTTTTCAGTGTTTTTTTTTGTTTGAAAAAGGGCATTTACCTTTTCAGTGTTTCCCAGTTATTGTACCAACCGCACTTTGTTATACAGAATAATACTTTTGTACAAAGGTATAAATATTCCTCATCTGTTACATTATTCCGTTTTATTGGTATAATATATTTTCATATGTACCTTTATAATTTTATTTTCACATATAGCTCATATAAGAAGGAAAAGTAATAATAATCAAAACAACAACAAAAACGTAAATTATCTTCAAAACGTTGAAAATGTCAATCAAATTGCGTAGCCGTGAAATATAAAATATAGAAAAAGTAAAGATGAAGCATGTTGATTTTCCTTTAGATGTATTTTTATCCAGAAAAGTATAATATTTCTAGTTGTTGCATGTGACGGAAGATAAATAACTAAAAGAGTTGCGGCTATAACTCTGGATTTCGGACAAAGAGATCAAACCACTTTTTATTTTACCAAAAATATAACTACAAACAAGATAGATAAGAAAAATCTATATAGGATAAGAAGTGGGATAGGATAAAAAAGATACTTCATGGGCTCATGCTATTGCTGAGGCTATCTCACGGATAATGGGTATAGTATTCGTGGCGTGCAAGCCGACATAGAAAGTTCACATCATTAACCACTATCAGTTGGAGTCCCTTTGCAGACAATACTTTGCTCCATTTCCAAACTTGCAATTTCCCATATATCAGATCCATCGATCCTTGATTATATTTTTTCAGGTAAACACTAATGGTATTAAAATCTTCACGTGACAAAGGTTTTTTTTTTTTTGGGAGGGGGTTATATGATCAGATGCTAATGCTATTAGACGACATGTCCACATGGATCAATTTCAGGCAGAAAGTATGTGAACTCGGAATAGTAGAAACAAATCACAAACTAATTAATCACAGTTGGAAACGTAACAGATTCTCATAACATTTCTCCAAAGACTATTTACTTTCACTTTCAGTATTTCTTTTTTTTTTCATATCCTTTAAGTGGTCGCCTAGCTGGCTAGCTCTTGTCTGTTTTGAGAGAGTCATTTTAAGTTAGTTGTAGTCTTTTAATTAGGTTTAATTTATTTTAGTTTGGTGTTCTGTTTGACTTTTGCGTTTTGACTGTTTTTTTTGGATAGGTAGGTTGGAGCTTTGGAGGTCTGCATGGGTACCGGTTAGTTAGAGAATTTGACCAATGTGAGAGTACGTAATAAAATATTTCCAACCGTTACAGAGTTTGGCAAACGATATTTGACATTCGGACGATTAGGTAAATTGCTACAACAATCGAAAAGAAAAATTCAAAGGAGGCGAAGTATTTGGCTTTATTTTAGCAAGGATTGCATCCTGGGGGGTCATATGCTCCCAGTTCATGTTTAGGTTTTAAATTATTTGGCTGAATATTTAGTTTAATGTATTAGAAAATTGATTGTATTTTTTCATTTTGTCTCTACTAGTTTAAAGATTAAATTGTTTTGCCCCAATAATCCAGATCTGCACATAATTTATTTTACATTGCCTCCACTATACGATCATCCTGGCTCCGCTTCCGTTTGCATCATTTTCATGTGCAAGTGCAATGAGACTCTGAGTTACAAATTAATGAAGACCATAGACCTGTGATGAAATAAAATACACATTGGACATGTAAATGGGCTAGTTACAAACCATTGCATTTGAGTTAACTTTTCACGGATTGTTTGAGTATGAATTCGTTTAATTATACTATCAACAGGTTTTTGATGGGTGCATTTTTGGATTATGATCACAACTTCTGCATATCATTTTTTGTAAGTGTATAGTAGAAATATTCGTTTACTAGATTCCTTGTTTAATATATCATCAACACACAATTAAACAACAATGGTAGGTCGATTATTAAGGAAAATAAGGAAATAACCGAATGCAACGTCGCAGTAAAGTAAGGAAATAATCGAAGTGGCGTAGCAGGTAGCATCATGTCTATAGTTGCTAGTCCAATATACATAATATATATAAGTATTTAACTTATCTTCTTTTATTTTTGCTTCGATATTGTCAGCCACATGTATTATTGAAATTAGTAAACTGTTACTACATATATTATCATAATTATTTGATAATATATACTTTTCTGGACATAAAAAGTGAATGTAGCAGCCCACTATCTCCTTAACTTATAATACAGTCATGCCAAACTATGTAGTGTGCGTTGTTTATGTAGCCAATAAAGTAACATATACTGGTGAACATATATAATAGTGGATGTAGATATTGAATGATAAACCTTGAAACGGATTTAGTATATGACTTTCTCAGAAAACATATTTAGAGCGAACAATTATTATTTGGTAATGGCGGATAATCTTCAAGATCTTTAAAGATAAAAAAATCCAACCAGTAGACGTCAAAAAGTAACAAAATCTTCAAAGTTTTGTCAAAAAAAAAAAAAAAAAATCTTCAAAGTTAAGCGAAGTTAGTGGTCGCATTTTCCAAATTTGTGATTGAAACATTACCCATTATAGGTCAGGATAGTGGTTCGGTTCTGTTCGAGAGACGATAATGTCTCCTTGTAAGGCATATTTGTAATTAATTCGAATAAAAAGATTAAGCTATATTCCTTCTTTTTTTGAGCAATTTAAGCTATATTCCTTATACTGAAATAATTGTACGAAATAATAATATGATTGAATAATATATATACATATAAATGTACATGTTAGTTTAATGCAATCAGAAAATTATGTTAAGGTCCGGTCCCTTATAAATACAACCTCGTCCTTTCATACAAAAGAAAATAATACTAGTTTCAATACATTTCTCCTATTCTAAAAACCGTCATGCAAAGCCTTCTCTACACCGTAGGTTCCCTTCTCCTCCTTCTCCTTCTCAACCACGAAGGTGGCTTTACCGGAGCCGCCGATGCTGAACATAACTTCAGAGCCACCGATTTCCATACTCATCGCCATCGTCGCAACCATGGCCACCGTCGTGGAGAAGAGTTTGAATACTCAGCCTTATCGTGTAGAGCTTACTCAGCGTCTCTTGACGAGTTTGGCGCCGTAGGAGACGGTGTGACCTCAAATACGGCTGCGTTTCGCGATGCAGTTTCTCAGCTTAGCCGCTTCGCAGACTACGGTGGCTCATTGTTATTTGTTCCCGCCGGACGGTGGCTCACCGGAAGCTTTAACCTCACTAGCCATTTTACGCTTTTCCTCCACCGTGATGCAGTTATCCTCGCCTCCCAAGTAAGTTTTTTTTTGGTTCCATATAGAGTTATTGTAATTTTCTAAGAATAACATAATTAATTAGGAATATACCCCGTGACACAAAACTCCACAAACGTCTTTGATGAATTATATTTTTTTCCTTTGCAATTTTTTTGTTTTTCTCAATTTATACATACATTCACGTGACATTTGCTTGACAGCTTCTGATGATATATGGTTGGGCCATTCAGTTTATGTTTATTGTTTCTGCAATGAACCAAAATAATAACTTCGACTGCAAATTAAGAGATTTAGTTAACCAATACTGTAAAGGCTTTATTTTTTTTTTTTTTTTTTTTTCTTTCTACTAAAAGCAAACTATTAATTAGGGTTAGAAAGCGTTACTCTAGAATTAGGGGGCAGAGTAATGAGGGAGTTACGCAAAGAAAACAAAATTGGCAAAGACGCAAAGTTAGTGGGGATCGCTATCGAACGGTTTTTAAAAGTGTGTGACCCATTCATGTTAAAAAGATCTCACACGTTGATTTATACTCCAAATCTCAGCCACATGTTACTTTTGGACCTTAGCCTAAAATAGCTCTCCTATTTCTTGAGCCCACAACACCACCAACATATGAGACCCGTAAAATTTCCATGTAAAGCTCCTGGGGGATGTAATATGAATATCTTAGATGTGTTACAGAGTATTCTTCACAATATGAAAATTTTGCTCCTTATTATGTGAAGTAAGTAGTTAAGAATTCTGTCTAGTGTGTAATAATAAAGTTTGACTAATTCTAAACTAATATGAAAATTGTTTCTCCTAATTGTATTTGTAGGAAGAAAATGACTATGAAGTGATAGAGCCATTGCCTTCGTACGGACGAGGGAGAGACACAGATGGTGGAAGATTCATCAGTCTACTTTTCGGTTCCAACTTAACCGACGTGGTTATCACCGGTTAGTATCTCAATTAGTATTGAACTAACCAAAAATAACAGAATATTTCGTAATCCAAATTGCCACATCTTAAAAATTGAAAGGTGAGAATGGGACGATTGATGGACAAGGAGAGCCATGGTGGGGAAAATTCAAGAGAGGAGAGTTAAAATACACAAGACCATATTTGATTGAGATTATGCATTCTGATGGTATCCAAATCTCCAATCTCACATTCTTGAATTCTCCTTCTTGGCATATTCATCCGGTCTACAGCAGGTTGAAAAAACTCACCCGGTTTAACTATTCGGTTATCAAATTTCAAGTTATTAAACCGGTTTTGTTTATCTTATTTCAATATATGCAGCAACATTGTTATCCAAGGCTTGACGATATTAGCACCGGTCACGGTACCAAACACTGACGGGATCAACCCTGGTACAAAACTATACCGGTATCTCAAAATACCAATAACCGGTTTGTAAAATCTAGTTTAAAATTTATCCCGGTTTTCTCAGATTCTTGTACAAACACGAGGATCGAAGACTGCTATATTGTCTCTGGCGACGATTGCATCGCCGTGAAAAGTGGATGGGATCAGTACGGAATCAACTACGGCATGCCAACAAAACAGCTCTTGATCCGACGGCTCACATGCATTTCCCCCGACAGTGCAGTGATCGCTCTTGGCAGCGAGATGTCCGGTGGAATTGAAGATGTTCGAGCTGAAGATATTGTCGCCATCAACTCTGAATCCGGAATCAGGTACGTAATCGAAAACACAAACCGGTTTAATTCAGTTCGGTTTGATTAAACCGGAATTAAATCTTACAGGATCAAAACTGCTATTGGTCGCGGAGGGTACGTGAAGGATGTGTATGTAAGAGGCATGACGATGCATACGATGAAATACGTTTTTTGGATGACCGGAAGTTACGGTTCGCACCCCGATGAGCATTATGATCCGAAGGCTTTACCCGTGATTCAGAACATTAATTATCAAGACATGGTGGCAGAGAACGTGACGATGCCGGCACAATTGGCTGGGATTACGGGAGATCAGTTTACTGGGATATGTATCTCTAACGTGACTATCACGCTTTCTAAGAAACCTAAGAAAGTGCTTTGGAATTGTACTGATGTATCCGGTTATACAAGCGGTGTGACTCCGGAGCCGTGTCAGTTGTTGCCGGAGAAGCAGCCTGGGAGTGTTGTGCCGTGTAATTTCCCTGAAAGTCCGATTCCCATTGATGAAGTGAAGCTCCAACGTTGTTACTCTAGGAGAAGGCTTATGTGAAGATGACAACGCTTTATCTTTTCTTTTACAAATACATTTCTTGGATTATAAGTTAACGTGTTATCAAATGGGATGGACTTTATTGAATAAATAACAAAACTGCATGGGATATAACTACTTGACGCTTAGCGTGATTATTTGAAGTAAAACAATACAGAGGCTTAAAGTGAGTACGTGAAATCCAAGTATCAAATAATAACTCCTTTCAGTCGTCAGTTGGGTCTCTAACTTGATCCATCTCAGAACGTAAGTGCTTAAACATTAAATCGTAAATTCTAAACCCTTATGAAGCCTCCACCTTTGGTCATTATCTTTTTACTCTTCCTCATTTAATCAGATTGATGCTAAAAAATGCTCAAAAAATGCACTAGCTCAGGTTGATCATTTTCACTAACACTGTAAGTTTGTTTCTAATTCTTTAGTCTTCATCTTAATCATGATAGTGACAATTTTTTCTGGTATTTAATGTAGCATTGTCTACGAAAAGTGTTGTAGAGTGTAAAGGAGGAGGCGAATGAAGCTTACACGGAAGAAGTGGTGGATTATGTGAATAGGCTCGACGTTGATAGAGACATTGCATTCTTGAATACATGTGGATGGGAAGTACCATGTGAGATCTCAGTTTCATACAAGATTTTTACTTTCTTTCTGAAGAAAACAGTTCAGTTTAACCTCACTGCGGCTCATATGGTGGTTCTTGTCTGGAATGCTCACAAGTCTACAACTTTCAACTTACTAACATGCTAGGTGATAAGAAACAAGAAGATGAAATCTTTGTACGTAAATCACATTAGAAGATTGAAGCCTGACTCAAAAAATATTCTAAGAGGTTCCTTTGAGCTGGCAACGAGAAAAGTACACGTAAATAATTTTGGTTTAGATTTTATTGCTTTTCACTTTAAAAACAATTTACGATAATGCTTATTTGTTTGAATAAATAAATTAGAAAGCAGTCTAGTAACTCTGATGTTGATGCCCTTACCTTATATATTCTGTTACAGGATTATATCCTCTACGCCAGTCTACTCTGTTACCTCATATATTTTAACACAAACTTATCTATTAGAATTTTAAACATAATCTGTGCTTTAAAACCAAGGATGCATTAGACACAAAATTTGTTTTCCACAAATTTAATCTCATTAAACTGTTATAAGAAGTAATGTAAAAGCGATTAGCTTTTTTATTGATAGTAAATTTTGTATAGAGACTAGAGGATGTCTAGAACATTATGACCGGAAGTTACTGTTCGCATCCGACGAGCATTATGATCCAAAGGTTTTACCGGTGATTCAGAACATTATATCAAGACATGGTGGTAGAGAACGTGATGGTGCCGGCACAATTGGCTGGGATCACGAGAGATCAGTTTACTGGGATATGTATCTCTAACGTGACGATCACGCTTTCTAAGAAACCTAAGAAAGTGCTTTGGAACTGTACTGACGTGTCGGGACAAGTGGTGTGACTCTGGAGCCGTGTCAGTTGTTGCTGGAGAGGCATACGGGGAGTACTGTGCCGTGTAACTTCCCTGAAATTATTGTTCCCATTGATGAAATGAAGCTGCAACACTGCTACTCCAGAAGAAGGATTATGTGAAGATGAAAATGTTCTTTTTTTATATAAGTTAACATGTTAACAAATGGGATAAACTTTATTGAATTAATGACAAAGCTTCATGAAAATAACTACTTAATGCTTAACGTGATTGTTTGATTTCAAGCAATACTTAACGTAAGAACATGAGTACGTGACACCCAAGTTTCAAATAAGAACTCCTTTTTGGCATCGTGTCTCTAACTCGATCCATCTCAGAACAGAAGGATCTAACCTCTAAATTCTGAATTCTAAACCCTTAAGCCTTCACCTTTGGTCTTACTCTTCCTCAAACGTTTAATCAATAAGTTCATGTTTCCTTCTCTCGATTTGCATAAATAGATTTAGGGTTTTTGATGCAATCATGATACTTGCATAATTAGTCACATACTTGCATAATTAGTCATAGTCAAAATCATAATTTTACTCAAAAGCATAAATAAAAGGGAAATAACACGAAGACCAAAAGCAAGAACTCTTAATTCCCAGGGAGAAACCATCGAGCATCCATGAGATTCATCTTGTCAAGATCAGGAAAGCGATCAAGAGTCTTGGTTGCAAGACTGAACACACATATGTCAAGGTCGCGAGGTGTGCAATGGCAGGGACGAAAGTGACGAGTGAAATAGATGCAGTCTGGTTCGATACCAAGGGCCTTGTTAGCAGGCACAGTGTAACCCAAGTCAAGAAGCAGGGCCTCACCACCAAGAGAATCTACCTCAACAACCGTGTGACAAGCCCAATCCGGGTTTTCTACATCAGGATCATTCTTGTAGAGGCGGAACCAGGTCCTATTATATGGATCACTCTCAACCAACAGAACCTCTCCTGATGTATTAACCGCAATGCTAGAATCGTATCTTTGATCATGACGAGAAAGCATTGGGAATGGTGTACGACCGGTAATGTCGTTGTAGAAACCTTGCGGACAAGACAGATCTAGGATTCGGACATAACGACGACTTGTTGAGATATAAAGACGGTCACCGCTTAGCACCATATCCGATAAGCCATCATACCGGTGCAAGTCTTGGTGGTAAAATAGAGGAATGTCAGTGTAATGAGTATCACCATTCTTGCAAAAGCTTAAATAAGAGTGGCCAGGGAGGTCGAACAACCACACCACAACGTACTCTTTTCCACTCTCGGAAACCCACAAAAGACCCCTCACGACATCAGAACTCAGATCACTGAAAATACAGTCAGAATCATGCCTTTCAAATACTCTATCTCCCACGCGCTTGATAGTACAATCAGCTGAGTCAATCGACTCTAGAGACGGGAGAGGGATCTTTCTATGGCTAAACACATCTAAGATATATAAATTGGATACAGAATCTAACACTAAGAGCCAGTTACCCGAGTTTGCCAGGAAGCGACACCCTGAAAAGTCTCCCTGGTTCCTTTGGATACTGCCTTCTTTAGGGTTGTACAGCACAAAACCACCGTCTTTTGGAAAAAGCATCAGCCCTGGAGATCCGCTAAACGTCCGCTTTAAACTCTGACGTAGATCCCGCAAGATGAGGGAAGAAGATTTCATCATTATCACGAGGCAGATTCTCGCGTTTGTGGCCTGAGCTGTGTATATATCGCTTAGGGTTTTTTTTTTTTTTTTTTCTCTTAGGTTTTTTTTTTATGGGCTACGAACACCTAATCATCGGTACGCGGCACACACTAAAAAGTGATGGTTTGCTATTAGACCATTTTTTCCTCTTTTCGCTATATGAACAAAGTTTGGTCGAAGAATAGGCTACAAACAAAGGAGGGCCCATAAATTTGTGAATTTAATTGTTAGGCGCTGTTTTGTCAGTTGTTGCGGGAGGAGCAGCCGGGGAGTATTGTGCTGCTAACTTCCCTGAAAGTCCGATCCAGGAGAAGCTTATGTGAAGATGAAGTGTTTTTTTTTTCTCTTTATAAATACATTTCTTGGGTTATAAGTCAACGTGTTATTAGATGGAATGTACTTTATTGAATAATGACAAAGCTTTATGGGACAAAATTACTTGAGTCGGATCGTACATCTTGATTATTTAAGTAAAGCAAGAAAGATGCTTAACGTGACATCCAAGTACCAAATAAAGCGTCCTGTCTCTAACTAAACCCATCTCAAAACATGTTTGCTTCTGAAGTGGTATCATCTGTAAATTTAAGTTTAAGGTTTATTTAAGTATCATCAATATTTTAGAAAAACAAAAGGAAACAGAGTGGTTAATTAACGAGGTAGGCATATTAGACTTACTATGGTTTTGAATCTGGAAATGGTGATTTTGTTGATTCTGAGATGAGACAATGAGACGATTATCAAACCATTGTTGGGTTTGGTTTGATTCTATTGCAAGGACCCTAGAAGGCTCTTCAATTCTGCTGATAGCGGGATGATTCGGAGCAAAACTCTGCAGATAATTAATACATAATGTCATAAGAAGCCACAAAAAAGTTTATTGTAATCAAGAGAACAAAGTAGGGTTGGGGAGAGACCTTTCTAAGGAACTCAAATGACTTGGAACACTGAAATTTGACCATAGTTTCAAGAGAACCCAAGTGCAGACACACTAAGTTGATGTGTCTTTTTAGGCTCAGAGATATGAGACGATTGTCCATCTCCGTGAAGCCATCAAAGTCTGTAATATCAAAGTTTAGAGCTTCTAAGCACGCAGGTAGGGAGTAGAATAAGTCATCATCATCTAAGGATTTGACCGTTGGTATTGATGTTGCTGTCTTCTGTTGATGCATTATAGGCTTTCGTTCAATTACTTTATTAGTAAAATTATAGGAAGCCTTTTTCGGTCTGTCCTTAAATTCAAACAGTGCCTTGACCTTGGTCACGACATCAGTGAAGAACACAGGATCAGAGCTGCAAGAATAAAACACTGTTAAGTTAGAACTAATACATATGCATTTATTTTATTTTTTTTGAACATAACATATGCATTTATTTATATACCTATTTTCATTGCTCAAGCCTGGTTTTGAAGAAATGAACTTGATAGCTTGTCTCCATTCCCAGATTCTAGCTTCGGTATCTAGAATAGAGTTCACATTGTTCCTATTGACGGTTTCGCGCACTTCTTGCTCTATCTTGAGAAGCCTATTAAGGAAACAACCCTTGAGTTCCTTAACTGAATTAGCTAGCCTAGGAACATCCTCCGGCTTGTAGAAAATGGGGAATGGATGAATCTCTCCTGCATCCATAAGCTTCTTGATCTCAACGAGCTCATCAAGACACTGTGGTGACTCAGGGTAATTGGCTGAGAAGACAACTATTGCAACCTTTGACTCTTTGATCCTCTCCTTTGTCTCATTTTCTACATACACCGGTATTTCGTACGATTCGAATTCTGTTTTGAGAGAACTCACAAGGGTTTTTTCGAGCTGCTTCTCTCCGAAACTGATGAACACTCTAGGCGGAGGAGGATTTATCATCATTGCGCAACGCTTCATAATGTTGCATAAGAATGAAAAGCAGGTCAAAGAACAATCGGAGTTTTTGTCTTCACCAAGACGGTTTGGAGTATTGTCATTACTCTCTGCCATTGCTAACACATCTGCAGAACCTAATAAATTTAATCCAGAGGAATTAAGGATGCTTTTTTTTTTGTTATAAAGGAATTAAGGATACATGTAACTAATGTTCTAAAAATCGGTATATGCGGAGTCCCGTTTAGGCGGTAAATAGGCCATAACAAAATGATTTTTCTACAATGAATTTTTTTTTATTAAATTGATCTAGGCATATATGTTTGGAATAGATTCTATTAGTCTATTAGCTGGGCTCTAATTATCTACACAAGATCTAATTACCTCATATCAATTTCTTGAATATATATATATTTTTTTTTTAATGTTTGGAAAAGATTCTATTATTAGTCTATTAGTCGGGCTCTAATTTTTTTCTTTTAATTTCTTGAATATTGCATGTAACAAACCTATACGTTGACTCATATGCAAGAAACTTACTAATAACTTGAACTGGTGAATCGTAGGTTTGATTTTGGATTTCTTGAGAGGAGACAATAAGCTTGTTACCAGGAAATAGTCGAGGTTTCTTGGACAACAAGAGAGGCTTGAAATTAAAATCCTACAAAAGTGACAATATACCAATTAACATACAATATAACAATTCAAAAATAAATTATGAAAGGCTGAGAAAATAAACCTCATCGTAGATGTCAACAGAACCTAGCAACACCAAGAAAACCATTCCAGCTTGACCACACTCTCTTAATCGCTGACCGAGGCCAGGATTCTTGAGAGAGATCAGGTCAAGAAACAGCAGATGATCAGTGCTCGCGGAACCTCTGGTCTGACTGAACGGCCTTGTAATAAGATCTTCAAGATCTGTCTTGTTAATGTTTAGAGCTTGTAGTAAAGACGTTACTGCTGCCTTCTGGGGATGCATTAAAAACTTTTCTATGATAAAAAGCTCATCTCTTCGATAAGAAATCTCTTCTAACATTTCTTTAAGTTTGGCCACAATATTACTAATTAAAGGCCCCTCAGGGCCTTTTATATGAGAAAAGCCTAATGATCCACCAATATAGACTAAAGCTTGCCTCCATCCCCAAATCCTAGCCTCTGTTTCAAGTATGGACTTGTCGCTTCCACGATCAACTTTGTTGCGAACGTAATCCTCAGTTTTAAGGAGAGTGTTGCCGAAGCAACCAGTCTGGCTCTTGACTTTATCAGCTTCCACTTCGTAGAATACTGGAAAAGCGATAAGATAACCTGTCTCCATTTGCTTCTTGATCTCTACAAGCTCGTCTAAGCACCAATATGAGTCTGAGTACTTTTTGGACAAGAGGATGAGTGCAACACCTGACTCTCTGATTGTTTCGAAGAGTGTTGTGGTCCTTCTCCCTCTCGTCTCATCCTCGTCGATGAAAACGTTGATATTGCTGCTCTTTAATTCCTTTTTTAGATTGCTCACTAAATTGTTTCTTTGAGTTTTGCCTCTGAAACTGATGAACACTTGATCATGTTTCCACGACCGAGAGAAGTTCGTCATTTGTGTGTTATGTTTGAAATGTGTATTGATGAGTTAGACAATGCTTGCTTGCAGATTTAAAATGAAGAAAGAGAAGTGTTCTGTAATGTTTATTATGGGTTACCTGTTGAAGTCAAGTAGTCATTTGTTTTTTTTTTTCTTGGCACAAGAAGTCAAGTAGTCAACACACCTAGATTGATCTTTATGCTGATATTATTATTTTACTTGCCAAATGTGTAGACGCGGTTAGTAGGTGCACGCACATGGGTCCATTTATCTGGAAATATTGAAGTCGAGGAGAGACCAACGTAACCATGCGATGGTTGAAAATATGAATGCTGAATTTCTGTGTTACTACGTACAAACGATTAATGGTTCACGTGATCATTTGTCGGTAGCGTTTCTTATTTACGTGACACGAAATCTATACAAATCTAGTCAAGTTAATGTGGGTTGCATCTAAAAGATATGAGCTCCAACAATGGAATAAAATAATTATTGTTTAGAAGAGTCTCAGTCTCATTTTGCATTGATCTCTTTACAACTCGCATCCTTAACTAGTCAACTGCTACATTAAACAAATTAGATTTTATACTTTCGATGTTAAATTTTTACATAGCGACAAAAGACACCTGTAGATACATTTGTCTCAATAGATGTTTATTATGGAGTCTTGGTCTTAAACAAATAATACTGCAGCCTACCAAGTCTTTCTTTATCTATCTTTTTGTCAACTAATCTTTCTGTCTTATTCGATTTGGCTAAATGATGTGTTTCTTTCATAATAATATAATATGACAACAACGCGGTCCAAAAATCCCAATCATGGATCCATTTGTGTCTGTTTTTTTTTTCTTTGACTAAATTTGATTGTGTCTCTGTTTTAACTTCCAAAACTGCTGCTAACACACAAATTCACTATCTGATTAATCGATCTTTCTTTGGCGTAAATTTAGATATAACTCTACTCTCAATAAGGTGTTACCCAAGCATACAGCAATCACCAGTAGAGGCTGAAAAGTAATCATGAACACTTTTCTTAGAGAAAAAAAAAACATCAAAAGATAGAGGCTTTTGCATAGGACACAAGTACAAGAAATAAGCGTAGCAGTCCCTTGCAAAGTTGGGTTGGATAGTTCACGTCGACTAGTCCTCCTCGTTATCTTATTTTGCTCCCCATGTAAGAGAGAAACAACGTTTGAAATAGTAACACAACAACGAAATACAGTTCGTTTTGTCTTCTCTCTCCGCCGCGTCATCAGATGTCGGAAGCGTAACATAGTGCATCCTTGGTTGAGGACTTTTTGAGCATTCCTCTCCTGATGCGGAGTCCGTATCACTATCAAAAGGAAACACACACCCAGGCCATCAGATTCTATATCATCTTGAACTTCAAGCCTCGACCTCAAAACAGAATAGTCCAGGTGTGGTCGATCGTGTATGGTAGTGGAGTGATTGAAACACATTTCATCTGTCGATTTAAGAATTCGAAGTCGTTAGTCACTAGTTAGAAGATATAGCCACCAGGTGTATATGTCAAAGATCTGAACTCACTAGGCGAAGGGTGATAGCGATTAATATTGTAGTGATATGATATACTTTGTCTATAATCTTGAGGCACCTCAGGCTCCAAATTCATGATTAAATGAAATTTCCTTGGTAAAACTGGCTTCGAATCAACACCCTGTGGAGTCACACCCATAATTATATATATATCAAAACGTGAGAAAATTTATAGAAAAACAAAACAAAATCATGAGACAGAGATAGAGACCCAATTGTAGCTCCTAACGTGACGAGGGTTTTCAGGATGAGGAATCCTTGAACTGCTGATGCTGTAATCCATCGACCGGATAGTAATATCTTTCAGGGCCGCGTCAAGCATGAGGCCTTGACGATTAGAACTTTCCAGGTTCAGAGCTTCCAATGTAGTTGGAAGTCGTTAGTCACTAGTCAGAAGATATATCCAGGTATATGTTAAAGAGCAGAACTTACAAGGCAGAGGGTGATATGAAATGCTTCGTCTAGAATCTTGAGACACACTAGGCTCCAATAGCCTGTAGCATGTTGGTACTTCGAAGGAAGGAGCAAAATTCATTGACAAGAAAGGCCTTGGTTCAACACCCTGTGGAGTGTCATACTCATAAGCATTAGATATCAATAAGTGAGTAACTTTCTAGAAAAAAAAAAAACTCAAAGAGACAAAGATAGATAGAAATAACCATATTGTAGACCCTAAACATCTGAGCTTTCTTTCTTGCGGAGTCTATAATATTATTCTTCGTGTAATCATCAAATCGTCCCAATTACTGAAGATCAATGAAGGATGGGCTTGCTCATACATCATGTGAAGGGCAAGCCAGCTTATAGCCTTCTCTAGATTCCGAGGTTCCAATGTCGTTGACAAGTACTGGAGCATCTTATTTAACTGATTAACATCAGTAAGATCTGATGCTTCACCCTGTGGAGTTTCAGCCATCATGTCTTGTTTTATACAAAAAGAAAAGCCACTAAATGTGAATATATCTTTGAGAAGTCAGAACCAAGAACACACCTTAAACGTCTCTAGACTATTATTATCCTTTGATGCAATTTTGGTTAAAGTAAAATCAACCCTTTCGACAATCTTTTTGATGAACTCCAACTCTGAAATTGAGCTGCAAGTTTAAACAAATAACGTCAATCTTGTAATCATGTCTTAAATCACACCTTATTTTAACACACAAAAAAATAAATAATAATAATTGAAAAAGGGTATAAACAATACCTTCTTTTCTCATAAGTGAGTCCAATTGATTTAGCTACGTATCTTAAAGCTTTCTTCCATCTCTTGACCTTGGATTTACGATGCGTCTCCTGCAAAGTTACAAACTTCTTTCCAAACTTTCCGCTAAGTTTCTTGACATCGGAAGTCTCAACTTTATAAAAGATTGGTATGGCAAAGTCAACCTTCTTACACTCCAAGCATTTCTTGATTTCAACCAGCTCGTCTAAACACCAATGTGACTCCAAGTAGTTAGTGGAGAATATGACGATCACGATCCTTGACCTTCTGATATATTTGAAGATCTTCTCAACTTGTTCTCCAAAAGCGTCCTCGTCCTCGTCCGTGAACACATTCACTTTTCTATCTTTCAAATGATGTTTGAGATGTGGCAATAGTTTCTGACGCTCGTCTATGCCCCGGCAGTTGATGAATACTTGAGGCCTGTTCTTCCTTTCCCCCATCTCACACCACCACTACTAGTTTGGATCGATTTGCTTGTTTGTGATACTACTAAGGTTGAGAATGGTAGAGAAGAAGTCAATAAAAAATAATTAACGCTCACTTTACGAGGCTCGTTTGTTATTATTTTTTATTTTCACGACAAACACACTTCTTAATTAATTAAGCAAAAAGATTCATGCCGAATTAACAACTAATCATAGCGGTAAAATCGTAAAAGAATGCTTACAAAAGAAAAAATAGTAAGCGAGTACTGTAAGGGTACTTAAACTAAAGCAAAGCATTATCCGGGCGGGAAAAAACCTTGTGGAGATACTTAGATTTGTGTTTAATTGAATATCTAAAGTTGTGACTGCATTATAATTACGGTATACTAGGTGATTTTCCCGTGCTCATGCACGGATATGAATATTCATAAAATTAATTTATAATAATTGAATGATACTTAGTTTTAGTTTTGAATCAATTTATATGTATAACTTATATTAATAAATAGTATATTATTATAATTATACATATGACTTTGGATATATTATTGTCGGTAAAATAATAGTCGGTTTGGTTATCAATTTGGTATATTGGATAATATCTATTTATCGAAT